CATATTAAATTTTTATCTCAAGTCAAAAATTATTTATTTATTTATTTATATCATTTCAACAAATAATAGAAAACTCGTCGTTGGAATTTTGAAACCATTTTGATCGATTACTACCAATCGATAAACGACAAATATACACAAGCTTCGATTTCTTTACATTACTGGAAGAATTTGCTCTTAACCTTTTTCCATATATACTTACACGTAACGTAAGTCATTATAAAGAGAAAGAAAAAAAAAAAAATTGATTGTACATTAAATACACGGAAGCCATTTTTTGTGGGGGGCTCAATTGGTATTTCCATTATGTACATATGAATGACAAGACACGAGAATCGTTATCAAGCTCATGTTATTTTAAAAAACGGAAGAGAACTCCAAATGCCAAGGAATGCATGTACATTAATTCCTTTCGATCCATTCTTCCATCATTGATTAATTGAATCGATGAAATCTTTATGACTAGAATAATTCTTTTAGGATTATTTATTTTTATTATAGGATTATTTTTATCTAGAAAAAAACTAGAAGAGAAGAGAAAATTTTTTTCTCAGGAAGAAGGAAGAAGTTTGAAAAATGTTATTAATAATATTATGTTTTAGGAAACTTTAATGAAATCAAATTTTATTTTTAATTATTTCTTTAGTTTAAAAAAAAAATAAGAAAATTTAAAAATTGTCGAGGAATAAGAGTTTCAAAGAAATTTCAATTGAACGTCATTTTCAAAAATTTATTTTCTATTAGCGAGAACTACATCGAATCCCTCTACTAACTATCTAGAAACGAATTTTCTCACTAGAAATAAACAATTTAAAGTATAAACATAATGCAATGTGTATCTCTTGCATTTCTTAAAATTTGCAAATTTCAATTTAAATTATATAATGATCCATTCAATATTAAAAATAAAAAAATTCTGCATATACTAAAGAAGAAAAAAAATCTATTCGTTTTCAATCTAGAGAGGACGGTACGTAAATATATTTCACGATCATCGGTATTTAAAAACGCGACAAAAGTATTTAGCACACCGTCGTGTATCTTTAGAATCTTATTCGAAGAACGAATCCCAAGTCGGGCCAGTGACGGGTCATTTCCACTTGAAACGCGAGAAAGACCGTGAACCCTGACAATTGGAGTTGTTTCCTCTCTTCCTAACAGATGGCGTTAATGAGAAGTATTACAACAAGGCAGTGATAATATCCTGCACGCAATTATCACCGGGTGAATTGTCACACGTGTGTAACACACAAATGGGAGCACACGTGTTAAAATGTGGATATATGTTTGTGTTAAATTGTGTTTGGGTATGTAGTACTTGTGTTTTAAAAGGAGCTGTATACGAGAGAGAGAGAGAGAGAGAGAGAAAGAATCCGAGAAACGTGTAGTTAAGAGTGAAAAGTGTAATAGTACATTTGAAAAAATGATATTTATTAAATTATAAAATTGTTCGGTAAAACTATTTGCTAAAAATAATTTATATAATCGTTAATAAATATAATCAAACTCGTTTTATATATGTATACAAATTATTATATTGTATAATAAGTAATAATTATTATTACATAAGATATCATACAATCTCAAATATGATACATTAGGAATACTTATACTTTTTACATTATTAATTTATATTTATAATAAATTGTTTTTATCTTTTCAAATTTATACAATGTAAGATTTATCAAATAAATTCTTTGTCTTCAAGATGTGTACTCTCACTTTTGACTCTCACTGTACATACATATTTCATCACATACTCTCCCTCTCTTACACTCTCCTTTTCTCTTTCTCTCTTCTCTCTCTCTCTCTCTCTCCCCGTTGTATTCTAATAATTAATATTTCACCTATTTTTCCTTCAATTTATTTTATTTTATTTCTATTTCATTTTATTTTATTTCATTTCATTTCATTTCATTTTATTTCTTTTTATTTTATTTTTTTTTTTTTATCGTTTTATCAAAGAGTTACCCTTACGCTTACGATTGAATAAAAATAAATATTTTCGATTGTGTCCTAGAAAAATTGTTGTTGTTGCAAGCTATACTCGTTTATTATAATATACCTACCTACTTATAGATTACGTTAAGTATTTCTTAAACGTTAAATCGCCAGATACAATCGCTCTGGCCACGCCACGCGAGTTACGAATTAATAAAAAAACTTCAATCAATCTCGTCGATAATTTTAAAACAAGGAAAGGAAAAAAGAGAAAAAAATCATACGTTAATCGAACAATAAAATCTCTTTATCCTGTTTCTGTTGATGGACGAGCAGTCGTGTCTATGTGTGTCGCGGCGTATTCTCAAGGGCCTAAATGGGCTAACTAGATTGTTTTCCCAAGATTCTTGAGATCATAAAAATCTTACGGATCCTAGAAGTTCTGGAACTTATAAAAATTCCAAAGATCTTAGGGAAATTTTAGAAATTTTCAAAATTCTAAAGATTTCCAAAAAAATCTTTACGACTCTAAATTTTCTGTGAAGATCATTAAAAATTTTAGGGATCATAAATTTTGCAAAAATGCGAAATATAAGTAAGAAATGTTTCAGATTTTAAAAATCTTAAAGATTCTTCCAAAATCCAAAGAATTTTTGAGAATCATCAAACACTATAGAAATGTTAGATTTTATTTAAAATAAATAAAAAATTCTAAGAGAATTTAAAAGTTTTAAAAATTCTTTAAAAAATTTACAGATTGTAAAGATTATATAAATTTCAGAGATCTTGGAATTTCTATAAGTCTTATTGTTCGAGATCTTTGACATTCTAATTGTTTTAAAAATTTTAAAAAGCCTAGAAATTTTTTTTAAATCTTAAAAGTCTTGGCGATCATCGAAAATCTAGGGATACTTTAGTTAGAGAAATCTTAAAGTTCCTGAATATTCTTGTGATTCTAAACGATTCTTAGAGATTCTAAAATTCCTAGAAATCTAAGAAATCTTTAAAGATTCTAAAATATCTAGAAATCTTAAAAATCCTTAATATTTCACAGGTTCTAGAAATCATAAAGATTCCTAAGATTCATCCAAATCCTGAAGATTCTAAAGGTTATCGAGATCCTAGAGATCCTAAAAAATCTTAGGTCTTAAAAATCTTAAAGATCCAAAAATCTTCGAAACCTAAAAGTTCTAGAAATCGTAAAAGATCCTGAACATCCTATAGATCTTAGAACTTTTAGGATTAAAAAAAATCCATCTTGATCTAGGCCCTAGACACAGATCTTATCCCCTCAAAATTCCACAATGGACGTATCAAAAACCAACGATTTTCGATACAACGATTCCCCTGAATTTAATATCGAATCTTTATCATTCGATATTTCTACAAACGTTAAACATTTAAAACTGCACGTTTCCTTTGGCCGAGGATCAACACGAGATGTCAACGATGGCGATGCCTCTGTGTTTGTTCTATACTTTACAAATAGTTCGAAGACGTTTGGGAAACACCGTAATTAAGCTACATATTTCCAACACTATAATCGACTATGCTAACCACCTAAGAAACCTGATATTTTTACGTAGATTATATGACTGAAAGTTGATTGAACTTTACTCTTTATGATCATTACTATTTGATGATTTCTCTTTCAACGTTTATTCATCTTTGTCTTTTTATTACGGTTGTGTTTAATTCTTAACTGCTAATCTAAGATGTTAGAGTACCCCTCTAATGTTGTAAGTAGATTGAGAATGTTTATGCAACTTCATATTTTTAAAAAAATGAAATTTATATAAGAAACTGTTTCATATATTAGATTATTGTAAATATTACATCAATAATATCATATCTTGTATAAATCTTTTTATTTTTAAATTTCTATTAACTATTGCATTAACATTCTCAGTCTATTAAACTCATTGTATAATTCTCAAATAACACATGATGTTATCTTACAATTATTATACAATGATTAATTAGAATCAACTTTGTTATAAACCTTTGTTATATATAAACCTCGTAAATTCAGAATTAATTTTGTTATTGGGATACTTCAGAACCATAGTAGTTAAGAATTAATTCTGTGGATAATTCACAAGAGCATGGATTAATCACAATAAAATCTATGGATTATTATGAGACAGAATGTAAATTTTAAAATCATCCATAATCCTGATACAATTAATGTATGAACAACAATGGTGTGCGATATCGTCTTAGTTTAGGGCCTAGTTAACTCCAGTTGCTGTCTGAAAACCAAGTATTCCATTTATGGAAGCTATAGCCTGGATGAAATCAATCGAATTTTCAGAAGATCATCCCCCATTAACATATTTCTCAATCTTTGACTAGTATCTTTGTAATTAAATTAAATGTTAAATTCCAATTATTTAATTTTCATTTTTTCATTTCAACAAAAAATTTTACTCTTTATAATATTTTTCAATTCAATTTTTCAATAATTTATTGAACAAGCGAAAAAAAAGAAATGATAAAATTTCTCCTGCTTGTAATCATATTTGTTGAAGATTAAATTCGTACATGATCACAAATAATTCAGAATATTTTAATTAAAAATCTCGTTTATTAAAAAAATGTTAATAACCATCTTGACATCGTTTCCTAAGGGTACAGAGAAAATTTTCGAGCACAGAAACATTTGCCAAGAAACTCAGTGTTAACGAGGAGCCAAGATGTTACGAAGAATAAATGATAAGATTGGAATAATAATGGGAGTTGGCACCAAATTCTGGCAAAGCTTTTTGGACACTGTCTCCTTAAGCAAAATTTCTACTTTCTAATATTACTTCATACGTGCAATGGAATTCAAGCAGCAAGGAGTTTTAACGATTAAATGGGTGGATCCTAATTGTTTTGAATTCGAAGACAAATAGATCATAGAAGTTAAATGGCAGTATCAAGACACTCGATAAATACACATGGATTAAAAAAAAAAAAGAAGAGAACAAGAATGAGAAATACTCGTCGATCTAAGCATCGTCCTTCCTTAACAATGTGTTCCAAATATATTCTATCTCATTCATTTTCTTTTTCTTATATTTTAAATACCTTTTCCTTCGAATGAACACAAAATCTAAATATAGATTTAGATACGAAAGAAAAAAGTCGATAAAATAAAAATTATTAAGCGCGATTTAAGAAGAAATCTACTCAAAAGTTGAGCAATATATCGAATATAATCCTATTTTCTTTAAATATAACGTAACATTATTTATACTTGTATATATACAATTATAAATTTTTACACAAAAAAATAATAAAAAGTTTGATTTCAAAACAAGAACTGGAGGAGAGGATACGCGCTCCTATTATTTCATTTAAAAAAAAACAAACAAAAATAAAACAGTTGTATAAAAAAAATTAAATTATCTTTACGATAATAATATAAAATATACACTATGCTCTAAGTGAATGCAACCAGAGCATAATCAAAGAATAAGAATAAATAGTTCTTTTTCTCTTAACAAAGTGATAGAAGTGACTCTGAAGAATGGTGGGTAACTTTGTCAATTTAAATCACGTACAACCACATTGACTAGCATCTGGTTGCACCCTCACAAAAAGAGACTCCGAGTACAGTAGAGAGAATGAAAGAACATTGATGAGTATTATATATGGTAAAACGAAATACATTGCACTTGATCCGTGCTATACAATGATTTAAAAAAAAAATCTATATCACTTTCATCCTTTGTGACTGAAAACTTAAGCTAAAACGATACTCTTAATGTACTCGAGTCTTATACCATGCGCAGGATTGGAGGATCATCTACTCATACAGAATAAACTTGAGCATTGGAAGCTAATTGTAATAGGTAACAAAAAAATTGGATAAAATATTCTATAACAGATAATTAAATATAAAATATTATAATCAGCATTTTTCTCTTATTTCTTATCTCAGTAGTGGATTAATAAGCAGTCGGCCCTCCAATTTTGAACATTATGGTAAAATACACATTAAAAAAATTCGATTTTTACAAGAATTAAAATTAGACGACACTTATACGCGAATATTCTGTCCGTATGCTATGCAAGTGCTGGAGGTTTTTTAAGTTCTAAGAAACTGTTTTGCTACGATATAAAACGGTTTCTCCTTTTTTTCTATTTTTCATTTGTTTTATGGAACACGTGATAGTAAGAGCTGCCTCCATATTCAGAACAGGAAGTAAGAACGTGAGATCATTCTAAATTTCAGAACGGAAGCAGCTATCTTTTATTGGCCACGCAAAAATATAAGAAATTTATATATATTTGTAATATAAATGAACAACAATATAAATGAAAAAATAAACCACAGCCACATAACATATACGTTCGTTTGTCTTTTCACTTGCCCGTTTAGAGATTTTGAGGTTAGGCTTGGTACATGAAACAACCAGCACCGCCATCTTTGTAGCAAAACGAAAACCGTATCGTCGACCGAAGAATTACCGCGATTCTTTCAGTTTATTGCAACGTCCACATCCTTTTTTTTGGTTTTTTTTTGTTTTCTTTTTCTTTCTAAGTTCGTTATACATTAAAATTACATGGAACGCTACACGATAGAAATTATTATGTCGTATTTAAAAAAATCTTCAAATGAGAATAACTCATTTCTTTGATTCATATATTTCGATCGTATAGCGAACCCTCTTCTCTATGGAAATGAATAGAGACAAGTGAAAGAAATTGACTTTCATATTTTATCGTTTTTTAATAATTTTTTCAAAATTGATTGAATTGAATAAAAATTCGTATCTACACCAATGATATTTTGATATTTTTTTTCTTTAATGATGATACCAATATCAAAAAATGCTTTGGCACAATAGATATATAGAATACGAAGATTATACAAAGATGCAACATTTAAAATATCAACAATTCACCCCTATTCATTTCCTTTAATTTAGAATTAAATCTTTACCGCTTATTAGATATGAATACACAAAAAAATTATATATTCCTCACTCTGCTACCTTTCTTTCTCTTTCAAATCGAATTTATATCTGTACAGTTCGTCTGTATCGTAATTTTCATTTCGGATATACAACCATACATGTATTTACACAAGTTTACAAAACGAAGAACGAAAATTAAGTTCGAACTGCATCTGGTAAATCGAATTTTCCAATATTTCGTTTTTCAATCATCCACCAATTTTCAGCGACCTCTCGACCGAATTCGTTGAAATTCGTACAGAGAGCAGCACGTATCGACTTTATTACGCGCGAAATTCATTTTTCGAATAAAGAACAACATTCGGTTTTTTTTATAGCCCTTTTCGAAGACACTTCGATAATTGCGGAACGAACTCGATTCCGTTCGATCGCAATGACTAAACGAAAGAAATAAATCGCATAACAGATCTATATACAACACTGTACATTGTCACGTAGAAACGAAAGAAATAAAATGATAAAAAAATCTCAAGTCAGCCAAGCGTATTATCGCAACGCGAATAATTCATGTACTAATTTACTTACCAAAAATTGGTTGAAAGAAAAATGGCTGATCCCCATTTCGCATCGAAAATCCAATATGTACATTCAAATCATTTAGCTGACCCTTTGAGTATGACGGGATGCAATTCTCCTCGGAAATATGTTCTTCGGGAAGTCGAATTTGTTATTGTAGTTTCACCGATTGATTTTACGAAACGAAACGAATATTTATCACGGAACGAACGAAAACGAAAACGAAAAAAAAAAAATTAGTAATAATAATGTATTACACACTTCACTCGATCAGAGTTCGAAGAGTTTAACTGTTGAACAGTCCTGCCTATTCGCTAAGGCAAGATCACAGAAATATATCTAAGGCTCATAGTCACCCACGGCGTAGTTTATGTTTAAGGTGTCTCTACTTTCACGCCCTTATCGCTAAATGCAAGTGGAATCTGGATGTTGGCTGGCAGACTTTCGTGTTTTTGTCGGCTCTTTCGTCGTCAATTCCTGAGATGGCCTCCGCGGGCTACCCAGTGTAACTAACGCAGACGCTACGGCTAAACCGGCGCTCTGACCAGCCGGAGTGTACGGTTCACCACCAGTAGGCAGTCTGACTAGCAACGACAGGACCGCTGCTCTGTTACCACAACAGGGCTCCAATGCGATCGGACTAGGGGCATCCTGCAAAAATATTCACGAAAAAAATCACATAACACTAAATCACGCACACACAATTTATTATTCACAAAATTCCCGACACACTCCCGACAACGCGTCCGCGTCCACCGAAGTTCACGACAAATTTGAAATGAAGAAACGAGAATCGCAAGCAATATCGAAAAATCGAAAATCGCAAGCAATATCGAAAAATCGAAAATCGCAAATAATATCGAAATCAATGGCGCTAGTGGCGCCTTTATTAAATTTTGTCGTAATATTCATTTTTTTTTTTTTTTTTTTATTTAAGACTTTTC